AGTGAACAGAGTGGTGCCCTGCTTGGCAGGGAAGGCCCCGCATGCACGAGGGGCAGGTGTTGGCCTCCAGGCCCTCGTTCCAAGGGGACACACCCCAGAAGGGGGTGATCCTGGTGACAGGTGGGAGTCGGGAGCCTGGTCTGATGCAGCTCTGAACCGGCCCCCAGTGGGACGTCTCAGCCCTGGGCCCCTGGGCCTGCCTCTCCTCTGTTCGTAGGGTCCCCTTTCGGCCCCCCTACCAGTGTGGGCACCCGAGAGCTGACGACAGCTTCCATCCAGCAGGGGCCGGCTCTTGCTGCCCTGCCCTGTTGCTACGGCGCCCGCAGCCGCAGTGGACAGCTGTGGTGGCTGTAACCAGGGAGCCCTATCGGCGGCCCCAAGCTGGAGCAGGGAGTGACAGGGATCGCCCGTGGTCCCGCCTGGCGTCAGCAGCAGGGCCCAGGCCAGAGGCCCCAGGACCCCCTGCCGAGGGCTCCTTCCCCACAACATCACCCAGGACTGAAGGGCCGAGGACCGGAGCCCTGTTTAGCACTGAACGCCCTCTCGTCCTTGCTTGTAGTAGGTGCTCAACAAATCTTTACTGAATGAAGAAATGAGCAAATGACATAGGACCCTTTGAAATGTGTGTGGGTGGGCCGATGACCAGGACCCAGGCCTCTGGCTGGGGGCTCCCCACTGAGGCACGTGTTGAGATTTTACACCTAGTTTTAGGCGGTCAGCGAATGGAGTGAGGAGGTGGCCCTGGAGGGTGCCCGCGATTGCAGGGGGATGAGGGGAGAGTTGGGCACCCTCACGGTTTGGCCAAGTGCCAGTTCTGATCTCCCCGCTCTCTCCAGAGACCTCCTGCCACCTTCTAAAGGGCACGGGGGTAGGACCCTAGGTCCAGCGTCAAACTTTAAAGGAGGGGAAAAAGAGATGAGATTACCCAAGATCACACAGGTCCCTCTCTAGCCTCCCAGTCCCCATACCTGAGATCTATCAGGTTGCCCTTTTTGGCCTGGCCGCCAGGAAGCTCAGAGGTCAGTTCTCAAACTGTGTCTCATAGGATAAGCCCATCAGAATCCTTTTAATAAATAAAGAAGGCAGCTGTCATTGATTTGGGTCTACTCATAGGCCCTGCACTGTGCCTTGTCAGATCGCAAGGCAACCGGTTGAGCCCACACACTGAGCATGTGAGACAGACGAGGATCAGACTCAGAGACGTACATCAACTTGCGCAGAGTCATGCCATAAATGGTAGCAGCAGAATTCACACCCAGGGCCCTTGGCTCTCACCCCCAGACCTTTCCTCCATAAATATTCGTATGCACATGAATGAATGCCAGAGCTCTTGTCCGTGTGCCCTGGTGCCACCCCCGTGTCCCTGGGTGCCACCCTCCTCAACTGCACTTGCCCTCTCAGCAGACAGCCCCTGGAGAAGCTGTGGGGGTGGGGAGCTGGGCATTTCTGGGTCCTCGGATGCAAGTCTGACTGTCCTATGAAGAGACGCTGGGGCTTGCGCTGAGACAGAGTCTGGCAAAAAGTTTGTGCTGGATTTATTGGGGGGGCGTGGTGAAATTCTTTGCTTTCTCTTTGAATTTGGGTTTTGTAGGTGAAGTCCAACGGGGCATCGAGGTATGCACGTGAGTGGGGGGTTGACCCAAAGCCTTCCCTTTCAGTGCCTTCACGGCAGCGTCCCCGACCTTCGGACGAGGGGCACACATTCTCGTTCTGCAGTGGCCCCCGGAAACTGTGCGGCCGGCTCTGCGCAGTGGAGGGAAGAAGGGCTGGGAGGGGGGAGCAGTTCCCCGGGACTCCCTCTGCAGGGGCTGGCCCTCGGAGCTCCCTGCTTTTCCGAACACGACGTTGTCATTACAAACGGGAAATATGTGGACCCGTCGATGCCGGGGGAAGGCAGTCCCCAGGAAGAGCCGGCAAAACGGCCTCGGACCCCATGCCAGGAGAGAGTGTGACCAGGCGAGGCAGAGTTGAAGGCCTTTTCCATTTTCCTTCAGGCGAATTGAGTTCACCAGGGAAATATACATGTTTCGGAAGCGGGTGGGGAGGAAGCGAAGGTGCACCTACATGAACCAGGCCTGATGGTGGCATTTTAGGCAGGATAAGGGCGAGGTTTTCAGCTTCATTAAACCACACCCTCTTGCTCTGGGCGGGGCCCTTTGCTCCCTTCCTCCCACAGGAGATGCCCATCTTTCTCTCCCTGCCCCCCTTCCCTTCAGCTGTGGCTGAAGGGGGAAGCGGGAGGGCAGGGCAGGGATACTGGGGAGGGGCGAGGAAGGACCGAGGTATCTAAGGTTCTTACACCCCCAGATACAGCGATCCCCCTGTCAGCACCGCCTGGAGAGAGGGAGAGAGTGCAGGGGTGGGGGAAGGCGGGTGGGAGGGCTGTGGCAGGGGAACAGGTGGGAGCAGGAAGGTGAGTCAACAAGGAGCAGAGCAGAGCTGCAGCGAGCAGGCTTGCAGCTGAGCCTCCCAGCCTCCTTCGGCTGTGGGCTGCCCCTCCACTGCACCCCCCACCATGCCCTCCCCTCCCCCGCCAGGGTCCACACTGGCACTTGGCTGTGACATTCCAGAAAGTCCTTGCTTTGGGCTTTTGTCAAAACTTGCCTCTGCCTTGTCCCCCAGATCTGCCTGCAAGCTCACAAAGAGACAGGCCTGCTAGAGGAGTCACTGACACTAGCGACTGAGCAAGTGCCAAACGGGTGACCAGGAAAGCATTGGGAAGGGACCAGGAAGTGCCCCCGCATCGCTGCGGACGGGAAGCCCTCTGAGGTCCTGCCCTGCCCTGGTGGGTGGTGGGCAGGCGCCCTCTGTGGTGTGCTCCTGGTTGAGGGCTCCTGGTCTGAGCGAAGCGTGCCCAAGCCTGAGGTCGCTTTGCTCACTGCTGCCGCCCCAGGGTGCCAGCGCTCTGCTGAGAATAAAGTGGACTGGACAGCCTGAGACCCGGGGGGGGCGGTCCTCCCAGGGCCTGCAGAGCCGGGCGAGGGACATCTCTGAGGGGCCTCTGGGGTGGGGGTGAGACCCTGAGTGCTGTCACCTGGCAGAATGGTACCAGGGGTCATTCTGAGGGTCCTTCTGAAGGTCTTTCTGAGGGTCCTTTTGAGAACGTCGCAGCTGGGTAGCCCCTGCAGGGCCCTTGAGGCGCGCTCGAGCAGACCTGGATGGGGCGGGGAGTTCCGGAGGCAGCCCCGCCCCCTCACTCAGCCCCGCCCCCTCACTCAGCCCCCGCCTGAGGGAGGATGGGAGTGACGGGGAAGCTGGCGACGTTGCTCCGGCTCAAGCTGGCGCCTCTCTTCTGGGCCCGCGTGTGCTCATCTGAGGCCAAGCCCATGTCCCACCATCTCTTGGGGCTTGGTGGGAATTCAGTGAACTAAAGGATGCAAACGATGTCGTGCAAACCAGAGACATTAGGATGAGTTATTTGTTGGGGGACTTGGATCCCAAGGCAGCCTCTCTCTCCAGGGAAGATGCCTCGGGCCCTGTGGTGCAACTGTTAAAGCGCAGGGGATTCCCCATGGCGGCCACATTGCTGGCGCTGGTCAGCTGTGGTCAGTCTCTAAGCAGCCCACCGCACTTCTCAGCGGGGGAACTGGCCTGTGGGCTCCCCAGGTCTCCTGAAGCAGCCAACATGTTTGCATAAACGATTCCTGAGAACACGGAGGGTGCCCTTTTCTTGCGCATACAACGAATGTTCGGTGCCCAGTTCACATGCAGAGTAGAGTCAGAGCTGGAAGGAGCCCCCAGACCCAAAGGTTCTGTGGTAGACGGCCAAGCTACGGCCACAGCACCACCCGGTGCCCATGCCCTTCCCCATGTGGCTTCACCAGGCTCCCAGGAGCTGGGGTCCGACTGGCCACCCTTTGAATCTAGGTCAGCCTCGTGACCTGCATTGGCCAACAGGATGACCAATGAGGTGGTGGTATACAAGTTCAAGGTGAGGCTCCAGAAACCTTGTAGCTTCTGCCTTCACCATCTTGGGTTGCTGCCCTGAAACAGCATGAAGGAATCTGTGGGAGAAAAGGCCCCCAGAGGAGAGCTGAGACCCCCTGGCGAGGTGTGTGTGTGTGTGTGTGTGTGTGTGTAAGGGTAAACCAGTGGGCCCTCCCTGCTCCCCCTGAGTTATAAAGGGTTGGCTGGCATCCACACGGGGTTCTCCTGTCCGTCATCTCTGGGGGGACGGGGAGGGAGGGCTCATCCCATCCTACAGATGGTTAGACTGAGGCCAAGCTGATGGGCAGCCTGCTGACAGCCACATCTCGAGAAAGCAGCAAAGCTGCGACTCCAACCCACTGGGGCCTCTGAGGCCCACTCAGCATCCTTCCCACTGGCTCCCACGGAGACTGGGAGGCATCACAATTCTCTGCAGGGGCCAGTCTCTCAGAAAGGGGCACACACACACCACACATGTACCCACAGCACACACACACACCACATGTACATACCACACACATGTACAATGCACAGACCACATGCAGACACACTCACAGCATGTTGGGCTCTCTCTCTCTTCTTCCCAGCCCTCCATTTTCAACCAGCCTATCCCAATGGACCATATACTTTATTAAAAATATATAGTTACAAACTCCATTGTCAGTCTGGGCTGGGCCCAGGGTCCCGGAGGGACCACAGGAAGGGGTGGCCTTTGTCCTGCCCTTCGGGGTGCCATGTCTGCACCCAAACCCAATGCCATCCAGGGGACAAGATGGCTGGCTTTGAGGGCTCTGAAGGACCAGCCAGCTGGGCAGGGCCAGGGCAGGGGTGAGGCTGGGTGGGCGGGAGGAGGGGTGCACAGAGAGGGCTGCACCCCCTTGTCCTGCAGGTACAAATGGCAGAAGTGGATGCGGTGCCTCCATCCCTCTCCATTTAGAGATATTTACAACAGAAAGTCATGAGCAACAGGCCACAGTCATGCAAAAGAAACGCACCCCTCCCTCCTCCCCCCACACTAACCCCTGCCCACCCCAGAACCCCGTGATGCCCACCCCCCCAGAAGTCCAGCCGCCTTCCCCAAGGTTCTGAGAACAAAGGGGCCGTGTCCTTGAAGGGTTGATGGGGAGCAGAGGTGGGGGGTCTGGGTCCCCGAGCCACCAGCACGTAGGCACTGGGGGAGCTGGGGTGGCAGGGCTGAGGGTTCCTGGGACCTTCCCAGGCTTGGGTTCCGAAGCCAGTAGGGAGGGGCCCCCAGCTTTAAAGCCCCGCCTCCCTCTGGAAGGTCCATGGAGCCAGGGTCGGCTCTGTCCTGAATGTGGAGGGGGGGGTCCTGGCATCCCACCCCGGCAGCAGAGGCTCTTGCAGGAGGTGACGGGGCGGGGCCCGGAGGTCAGATGGCGGACTCCCTGCGGTAGGAGACGTTGTCCAGCGGGAGGGTGGACTGCATGCGCTCCAGATCCAGGTGGCTGCCGAACTCTAACATTCGGATGATGCCCGCCTCCTCCTTGGAGCCTGCCTCCAGACCCAGGCCTGCGGCCACAGCCGCCGCAGCCGCCGCCTCCTCCTCCATCTCCTCTTCCTCCTGGCTCATGAGGGCCAGCTCGTTCTCATAGCAGAAGGCACTGGGCGGGGGCGGGGGAGCGGGCAGCACGGTGATCTTGCTCTCCTGCAGTTCCCGGGCAGAGCAGCAGGGCGTGCCGGCCACCTCGTAGGTCTTGTGGAAGCGTGAGTAGTCCACCTTGTAGTGGCTCTTCTCCTCAAAGACCACGGGCTCGAAGCGGTGGCCCCACAGGATCTCGCTGGCCAGGTAGGAGCTGCGGGCCTGGGTGGTCATGGCCGTGGCCTCCACCATGCCCTCAAGGATGACCACGATCTCGAAGTCCTCGGACTCCAGCTCCTCCTTGCCCATGCTGTACAGCGGGCTGTCCTCGTCAATCTCGTGGACGATGATGATGGGCGACACCAGGAAGATGCGGTCCAGGCCGATGTCATAGCCCACGTTGAGGTCCCGCTGGTCCAGGGGCAGGTACTCGCCCTCCTGGGTCATGTAGGGCTTGATGAGCTGGGCCCGCACGTGGGCCTCCACGATGTGGCTCTTGCGCAGGTTGCCCACACGCCACATCAAGCAGAGCTTGCCGTCACGCACCGAGATGACCGCGTGGTGGCTGAACAGCAGTGTCTGTGCCCGCTTCTTGGGCCTCGCCATCTTGGCCATGATGGTGCCGATCATGAAGGAGTCAATGACGCAGCCCACGATGGACTGGACCACCACGGCGATGACCGCCAGTGGGCACTCCTCCGTCACGCACCGGAACCCGTAGCCGATGGTCGTCTGCGTCTCCACCGAGAACAGGAAGGCGCCCAGGAAGCCGTTCACATGCATGATGCACGGCTTGGGGGCTGCCGGCGCGGCCCCGCTGCTGCCTGCAGGGGCCCCCGCCGAGGCCACCGCTGGGCTGGCCTCCAGGTCACCGTGGAAGAAGGCGATGCACCAGAAGAGGAGGCCGAAAAAGAGCCAGGAGACAAGGAAGGCCGCGGAGAAGATCATGAGCATGTAGCGCCAGCGTGTGTCCACGCAGGTGGTGAAGATGTCCGCCATGTAGCGCTGCGACTTGTTGCTCAGGTTGGCGAAGTAGACGTTGCATTGGCCGTTCTTCTTGACAAAGCGGTTGCGGCGTTTCCGCCGGGGCACGTGGGCCTGCCCGTTGCGGCTGTGCCCGAGCATGTCCTGAAGCCGGCGTGGTCACCTGGGAGGACGCGGGGCCTGGTGAGGGGGAGAAGCCAGACACATGAGGTGCTGGGAAGCAAATGCCCGCCATGGGGGTGGCCTCTCCGAGGGCCCCCGGGAACCCTGGCTCCTGTGACGAAGCACCGGCCAAAAATGCTCAGAAAGAGAAGAGCCTGGACCGGCACCCGAGACTTCCTCCGCCCTGACAGTAACCGTGGCCCTGACAACAGGAGGGTCAGGACCTGAGCCGGTGCCTCCGGGGCTGGCCCAGCTCCGGGACTGGGGCCTGCCAGGCCAGAAGCTGAGCCACCAGGACCCAGGTCCTAGTCCTAGGCCCTCACGCTGCTCCCTCCAGCCCTCCTTTGCCCACATTTCCAAGCCAGAGTTTCCTGATGTCCATCTTGGCTGCACCCTCCCACCGAGTCCTGTGGGTGCTCTGGTCCTGCTCACCTCCCTGGGTTCAACCTCTGCCTTCTTAGGTCTTTTGGGGGTTGGATGTTCTCCTGTGGTATCTTAGATGACTGGCCACCCGTGGGTCTTTATACTAACTTGAAATTACATAAAAATTTAACTCAGTTTCACAGTTGCACTAGCCACATTTCAAGTACGAGTGCCCACGGCTCATGGCTACCCCACTGAATGGGGCTGCTACGGGACCTTCCCATCACTGCAGCAAGTCCCACTGGACAGTGCTGGGACCTGCAGCCTCTGCTTGGTTCCCGTCCTGTCCCCAAACTTCTTGGGAGCAGTGGTGGGTGAAGACGCCCAGGAGGGTCAAGACAGAGGAAGTGGGAACCTGAGCTCTGGCTCCTGTGTCGGTACTGCTATTCCCGTGGCACAGGGAAGGGAAGAGGAGCTCAGAGAGGGGAGGTGACCTACCCAAGGCCACACAGCTGAAAAGTGGGTCCAAACGCACGTGTGTCTAACTCTTCAGCCCTGGGAGCCGTCCGTCCACACGATAAGTTCATGGTGTGGAGACCTGGGCGGGGAGGTCACACACCCACTGCCCAGCCGTATCGCCTGCGGGCAGTGCTTCCCACTGCTTTGAGCCTCACTCTCCCATTTGTAAAATGGAGATCAAACCCTAACCCTCACAGGACTCAAGGAGACAGTAGGCGCTCGGTTAGAGCCAGTTGCTCTCCCGCCTGTGTGCCTGCTTCCTGGGAGCAGAAGGAAGCTGGTGAGAGGCAGGACTGGGCTGTCAGCATCCCCAGCTGTTTCAGCAGAGGCGGCCCCTCACCCCCTGAGTGGCGAGTGGCAGGTGCACCAGCTGGGCCCACGGAGGACAGACCCTCCCTCCTCCCCTCCCTTCTGCTGGGGACCCAGGAGAGAGACGAGGCGGCCAGGGCCCCAGCGGCTGGCGGGGCTGGCCTGAGCCTGGGTTCCTGGTAACATTTTGGCCCAGAATTATATAAGGCTGAAAGTTTCTATTTTCTGTTCTATTCTTCTTCCTGATCTAATTGTGCATCTGTGGCAATGTTTATACACTTCCCCGGTTCAGGACAACTCGGTTGCCGCAGCAACCGGTGCGCGCCAACGCTGTAATTTAGAGATCAACAGCTTCAGAGTCTGCCTCTTCCAGGGAGAAACGCCCTCTCTCAGCCCAGGGAGAGTGAGCCTGCCCCCCTCCTCCCCCATGGCCACCCCACCTCTGTTCTGGGTTCTTCTCCCTTCTCCCGGGCAAAGGAGATCCCTGGTCCCACAGTCCTGGATGGAAGTCCAAGATCCATCCTGTAACTTGAGCAAGTTACTTGGCCGCCCTGGACCTCAGTTCCCTCATCCGGAACATGGGATCGGGGACACCACTCAGTCTGCAGGCCTGGTGGTAATGTGGGTTCGTGATGCTGGCCCTCGAGGGGTCATGAGTTCACCGGGCATCCTGGGCTCTCTCCTGCTCCTCCCCCAGGGTCCCACCAGCCAGGGTGCCAGGTGCACCTTCTAGGCTAGAAACAGTTTTCGGGGAGGTCTTCCTTCACTGACCGTCTCTGCCCCTGCTCTGCCCCACTGTCTGGAATGGCTCCATTAATGCCACAGAAGGACCTTGAGCAAGGGGGATTGGGAGATTGCCGATTTCAGGACCCTCGTTTTACACCTGAGGCCAAGGAATTCCAAGTGGAGACAGACTTGCTGAGGGTCCCGGGGTGAGGCAGGCTGGACCAGCCCCGAACCCGTCTCCTCACCCCACTCTGGAGGGTCCGGAGGAGGCAGGAAGAAGACCCCGCTCCTGCCACCTGTCACATTCTCCCTCCGATTTGGTGGCACTGCAGGTCTCCTCCTGGCCTACAACTCCCATTGCAAAGCACAGCTGATAAGCGGCAGCAGCCCCAGGAGTCCCAGCAGCGGGGCCGAGTCTCCAGAGCTGCGCCCTCTCCGTGCGTGGGAGACACACATGGGAGACGGAATGGGCAACACGGGACAGCACCTCCTCAGGCGCAGCTGAGGGCTCAAAGTCCTGGCAGAGGCAGCGGAGGGTGGATCTCGCTATGGGGGAGATCGTGGCAGATCGAGGGCAGTAGGTGTCCCCTGCTGCCCACAGACCCCGGGAGGTCAGACTCTCTTCTCTCAGTGAACGTGGCAAGCCCACGTTTTCCCTGTCCCGGCGCAGTGGCTTCGCCTGCACTGGGAGTCTATCCATTTTTCTGTCTGTGTGACCATGGGCAAATTACTTAACCTCTCTGGTTCCTGAACCCCTCATCTCTCGGTGAAGCTAATGACAGCCCTTCCTGAGTAGGGTTGTGATTTAGAATAAACCGGACTGTGGATGCCACATGCCCAGAACACGGCTGGGGATGGAGAAGCGGTCACTCCTGAGGCTGATGGACCCCCCGGGGTTCAGTGCTCCAAGCCATTTCTCACGGCCCCGCCCAGTTAGTTCCGACACCAGCACTTGGAAGAGCAGTGGCCTTGGAGTCTCACAGTGCTGGGCTGAAAGTGGGCTCCGGCGGGGTCCTTGACACCTCTGAAGCTCAGTGTCTTTTTTAAAACACACTTTATTTTATTTATTTTTAGAGAGGGGAAGGGAGGGAGAGAGGGAGAGAAACATCCATGTGTGGTTGCCCCTCACTGGGGGCCTGGCCCACACCCCAGGCATGTGCCCTGACTGGGAATTGAACTGGCGACCCTTTGGTTCACAGCCTGCACTCAATCCACTGAGCCACACCAGCCAAGGTTAAGTGTCTTCATTTGAGAGAGAAGATAGCAAAGCCCACCTTGCAGGGTGGTTGTGAGGGCCAGGCACAGGTTGTCAATTGTCATTAAAGCACAGGCCACTCGGCGGGTGCTCAGGTAATGCTGCTCCTCCCCCAGACCCCCTTCTGAAGCCTGACATCCCACACACACCTCGCCCTCCCCCAGGGCAACGGTGTGACCTCACAACACCCACCCGGCATTTAGCACTGGTGTTCTGGGTGCTTTCCCAGGATCAGTTCTTCATCCTCACCGTGACCTCAGAGGAAGTCGCCTCTCTCACCCTACTGACCAAATAAGACACCCCGGGCACAGAGAGGTCCAGCAGCTGGCCCCAGTTCACACAGCCCATAAGCAGTGGACTCTGGGTTTGGACCCGGGCAGTCGATACCAGAGCACGTTCGTAAGACGCTCTGCTCTCCTGCCTCGGAGAAACGCTGTCACGTTGCACGTCCCTCCCACTTAGCAAACATTTGTCACTTTGTGCAAGGTTCTGTCACGCCAGTCCTGCTGGGAAAGGACAAACTGGGTCACAGGGAGTTGGAGCCAGGACCCAGGTCCCTGATTTCAGGTCCAGCCGGAGCCCGCTTGCACAGGTGACTCAGGCTCCGGGGCGGCTCTGAGCAGCGGGGTGACCCAGCTCATTCCGCCAGCTCTGCTCCCGGCCATTTGGCCTGCAGGTGAACAGGCTTAGAAAGCAAGTTCCCCAGAAAGTCCCCACAGGCCTTCCGGTCCTGGCCGAGTGGCCGGAGCTGCCGGCCGGCCGGAGGAACGAGGGCCACTCCTCCAGCCTGTAAGCGTGGCCTTGGCTGCGCTGCCCACACCCGGCCCCTGCCTGCGGGGAAAACTCCCTGCACCCCCCCAAAACTCCCCTCCCCCAGCGGGAGCCCCTCCTACTGGCTAGCCCACCCCACCCGGCACAGGGCACCCCGAACATCTGTGCCCCTCTTCCCTACAAGGGTTGGAAGGTGACAGGGGCTCCTCAAAGGCTTCTCTTTTCCAGACCCCAGTCTCTCACCGAGGGAGATTCGTTAGCCACCGCCTTGCTGCGAGGCTGGGAGTCTGGTCTCCTGCACGTGTCCTCCGAAGTGGCACCTTCGGTCACTGTTTCCCCACGCGCCTGACCCACAGGTCATACACGGCCTCGGACTCGCCCAGCCCCCTCGGCTGCGGAGAGATGCTCCCCACGTAACGGGCAGAGGCGAGCCCTCCCCCGCTGCAAGCTCTTGGAGGATGTCTGTCGTGATGTGAGAGAGAGGATGAGGGTCTCTGGTCCCGTGGGGGTCCCCAAAGGGCCCTTGGAGGAAGTGGCATTTAAACTGAGACCTGAGTGATAAGTGGGAATCAAGTTGGTCATGAGAACTGTGTGTCACAGTGTGAACGGTGGGGTGTAGAACATTCCAGAAAGAGTCTGGTGTGTCGCAAATCTGCGGCAACGCCAGGTGGCAGGAGTGGAGTGAGCAGGAGGGACTGTGGCCCAGGTGAGGCTGCAGGAGCCGGGGCAGGAGGCAGGGGGCAGGGTTGTGGGCTTCATCCTCACGGCTGTGGGCAGCAGGCCGGCCCTGTTTCACTGGGTTTGGGCATTTACATGGTCTTGGGAAACCCTTACGACAAGTGGGAATGAGGAGTAATGCCCCGTGAGCCCCTGTGTATCCACCACCATTCGTAAGAAAGAAAACACCACAACAGAGCCCCAGGGCGCCCCTGCCTGTCCGAGGTGGTGGGGACCCTGGAGTCAGGAGTGTCTGACACTACGTGGGGCCCAGTGAAAGCAGGAGGCCAGCCAGGGGCCCCTGCTGCTGCCCAGGCAGGCGACAGTGGCCGCTCGGAGCTGCCAGGGCCGTGGCAGTGGAGTGCCAGAGAAGTGATCGGATTTGGGACGATTCGGGACGAAGATCCGGGGTGGGGGACTGGATGGGGGAGCTGGGGAGAGGGATGACAGGGTTGGTGGCGGCGGGGGCTGAAGGAGGACCAGGTCTGAGGAGTGACACCTCCCAGTGTGCGGTGGCCTCAGAATGTCCTAACGAAGATGTCCAGGCGTGTTGGATGCCAGGTCTGCCGCTTAGGTCTCGGCTGCCCAATGACGCTGTCAGGGGCCAGGGCGGACAGGCCGGGGGCCAGACTGCTGGACGACTAGAGAGGAGGGCCCAGCCCCGGCCCGGCCCAGCCTGCAGGAGGAGCAGGCTTGCCCCAGCACCGGGGGCCAAGGGGCAAAAGAGCGGTGGGGGGGGGGGGCTCGGGGGGTATAAGCGCCCGAAGCCGGGGAAGGGCGTGTTTTAGCCGAGTTGCCCGGTGGGCCCTGACCAGCCCAGACCACCAGAGGCCACCGGCCCACCTCCCTTCTCCACTTGGATGCCCTCCCTCCCTCCCCCACCAGATGGGGCAGAGACTCCTCTTGAGCCAGGAGAAGGGGAGGTGCTGGGGTCAGGGTGGCTGTGCTGGGCCCGGGCTCCCTTCCCCAGCGCAGGTGGCCTCACACGGGCTTTGGCCGTTGTCCCCATCCTGGCACCTCAGCTAGTGGGGGGTAGGGGGCATCAGACATGAAGATCCCAGTCCCTTACCCTTGTACTTGGCCTCTCAGCAAAAAAGTCTCGGGGAGCTGGGGCTGCTGGTCAGGGGCCAGGGTCGCCCAGAGCTTTGGGTGGGTGCTGATGCCCCTCATTCCCAAGCACAGGATTCCCTGGATTTTCGACCTGGCCCAGAGGCTGCACCTAAAAAGAGGCGCGGGCAGGGGGAGGACTGGGGAAGAGGAATGAGAGCCGAGGGCCAGGCTCGCGCCCTCCCTTGCTCTGGGTGGCCCTCGTGGCTTTGGCGAGCCATGGAACTGCCCCTGGCACCGTGTACGCTCCTGGGACCTCAGCAGGCAGACAGCCGCACCCACGGGGAGCCGGGCACCTGGCTGGCCCTGCCCAGCCCGGAAGCAGCTGGCCGCCCGCCCTGAGCAGCTCACCACGCAGCCAGCAAAAAGAAGGAGGGAGCCCTGGAGGAGCGACGCGGGTCCTCAAGATGTGTTTTCAAGTTGAGAAAAGGCAGCAGTGGTGAATACCAAGTATAGTAGCTACCATTTGTACAAAGAAGGAGAGAAAGAAATTTATAGACACACATATTTGCTTGTCTGTGTCGTCTACGGAAGGAGACCCAGGCGACGGCGCCTCCGCTGCCTGTGGGGAGGGGAAGCGGGTGGCTGGGGCTGGGGCGGGAGGAGGAATTCTCACTGTAGTCCCGTGGTGTCTTTTTAATTTTAGAACCATATGAATGTATTACCTACAGAAAAAAGACACATAGAAAGTTTTAAAACCAGCGTGTACATATGTGTATGTTTCTGAGAAAGATCAGAGCTTTCATAAGGTCCTCAAAAGGGACAGCGATCCCAGAAAGCTTGAAAACGCCTCACCTACATGCTTTGCAGCCATGGGAAAGTGCCTTAACCTCTCTGAGCCACACCTGTAAAACGGGGAGGAATAACGCTCACGTCATAGGCTTGTTTCCAAGAGGGACACTGACACTGGGAGGTAAGGGCTTATGTACTGTAAAGGGCAGAGCCCTTCTTGGAGGGGGTGGATTCGAGTCACCTCCCATTCTCTCCACAGCCCCCTCGGGGGCTCCTCTGAAACACCTTCCCCCCAGCAGCTCTGCCCGGGGCCTGGCTGGCCCTTGCTTCCTCTGCGACTCCTCCAGGCCCGAAGGCGCCTCTCGGCTGCCCTCCCCACTCCCCCTGCTCCATCCTCTACTGCACGCCCTGGGCAGTGCCCAGGCTGAAAATGCCACCCGGCCCCTATCTCCCTCCCAAACAGTGATGAGCAAACTTGGCTCCCACTGCCGAAGTCTGCTGGATTTCTGTCTAAGGCACAGCACACTCGGCACCGACCAGTCGCCCCTCCCCTGCCTTCTCCATCTCAGTCTGTGGCGACCTGAGGGCCTGCTGCCCGGGTGTCATCCTTCGACCAAAGCCAACAGCAGTAACAGTGGTGCCACTTACATTTAGTGCTTGCTGGGGACTGGGTCCTGGCCACCCCTTTAATCCTCATGACACCCTGGAGGGGGGTGCTGCTGTTTTCATCCCTGCTGGGGGTTCGGGGGCTCCCCCAAGCAGGAGAACCCCGAGGAGTGGGACCTGGACGCCGGCCCCACACCCGGTCCGTGTCGCCTGCACGGGGCGCCCCGACGACTCCGCGGCCCCTCCCCGCACCTCTGTGCCCCTCTCCCGGTCCGCGCCTCTGCCCGCAGGCCCATCTCCACCAGCTTGGGACCCACGGCACTCCTCCTCAGCGTAGAGCTCTCGGGGCCCCTCGACTTCTCCCCTCCACCCCTCACCCCGACTCCCAGCCGCTTGGGCCTTTCTTCTTGTCCCTCGGACACACCGAGCTTGTTCGTGTCTCTGGCTCTTTACGTGGGCTGTCCCTTCTGGTCGAAATCCTCTGAGACACGGCTGCTCCCACCCTCCCGCCACGCAGGCCTGGATTCAAAGGCTGCCTCCTCCCGGAGAGACCCGCCCCGCCTGCCGGGCACTCTGTCTGGTCTGCGTCCTGACCTCCTTGCAGCTCCTGTCCCACGCCATCCGCAATCTCCTTAAGTGCAGGGACCTTGACGCTCTGCCTCACCCCAGGCCCCAGACGCCGAGCAGACATGTGATGACTGACAAAGCAACGAGATAATTCCAGCCGGTCATAATTCCCATAAAGGACCCGAGCAGGGCGATGTGGCAGAACGTGACCAAGCCGGAGCTATTTTTGTCACTGCAGTCAGGGAGAACCTCTCAACAAAGGTGGTCTCTAAGTGGAGGCCAAAAGGAGACCTTCTGTGACACTGGCGCAGGGGCAGGACACCTGAGGCCTCGAGCCTCTGCCTCCCCCTCCCTCAGAGCGCTGTCCCCCAGGTGTCCTCCCAGGGGGTCAATGGGGCATCTCAGCGTCACAGCCAGGGTCCTAGGCTCGGAGGAGAAGCTCCAAGGACTGGAGTGAGGGGCGGCGCGGGCAAGGCCCAGCAGGGTGCGGGCAACAGGTCTTAGGAGGTCAGAGGCAGCGACAGCAACACTCGGGCCCTGCTCCCACCCCAGCTCACCTGCGGCCATGAATGCCTACTACGTGCAGGCAAAGTGCTGCAGCTTATGCATCACTTCTGACCATCTGCCCAGCTGGCTACTGAAGCCAGAGGCTCTCAGGCTCCATTCATTCATTAGCTCATCACCCCAACCGTATGCCGAGCTGCAGCGGCATCTGCCCTCCCGCCTGGTGTGTCTCCAGCACAGCCCAGCGCCTTGCCTCAGAGGATGCTCCGCAAATCACTATGGAATGAATGGACATTTACCAAGCACCTACTATGTGCTGGGGGAAGAGAAGTGAGATATGGCCCCACTTTGCTGAGCTCCACGTGTTAAGTGTGTGGCGACAGGAGACAAAGGGTCTGCGCGGCCACGGGGCTTAGAGAGGAGGTGCCCAGGAGGGTGTGAGCAAGCAGGGAGCGCAGAGGTGAAGCAGGTCTAGAGAGAGCGGGGCCGGGAGCCAAGTGTGCCGCTGGGCAAGGAGCGGAGGGTCTAAGGACACAGCAGCGCCCCCCAGGTTTCTGGGTACTTATGTTCTTTGGAACCAAGCACCCTGGAAGAGAGGGGTCTGCACACCCAAGCCCCCGCCAGTGGCACCCACGGGAGTTCTCCACAGAGTAGCAGCTTGCAAACTTTTTGACTAAGACCCAGAGTAAAAATAAACGTACCACATACCACCATTCATTCCACAATGTGTATTTTAAAGGCTGACACAAAAGCATCAAATTAATGCTTACCCTCAGTACCTGCAAAGTGCTTGCTATTTTCTTTGCATTTTGTTTTTAAAAAAATAAGGAGTAAACTCACTAAATCAACTTCACAACCACTGATGGGTCAGGACCTGCAAGTCATTCCGAAAGCATGGCCCTGTGAGGTGTTCAGGGGTTGCGGGTGGGTTGCAATGGGGGTCTCAGCTCAACTTGAAGCTGTGGCTGATGGGCTTGGACCATGGGCTTTTGCGGGCACAGCCAAGGGGGGAGTTGTTGGAGGTCACAGGGATACCTGGGACAGGCTGTCAGACCTTTAAGGCCGCAGGACTGCTGTGCTGGGGCCCAAACAATAGGGACTCTGGGTTCTGGGTCCAATCTCGTCTCCTGAACCAGTGT